AAAAAGATGGCTTGAAAGTTTAATTAATTATGGTTAGAAAGTGAAGAAGAAATGAAAAATGAAACAAAGAGCAGTATTGGCACTTGAGAGAGAGAGAGAAGAAAGATGTTGGGGATAAAGAAGCTCAGTAAATTAACCAATAAATGCTGCAGAAAAACCCTTTCAGCAGGCTCAGAGAATCTGTCTCCATTAAAGTTTCATGGTGAAGGCTCAGAGGGATTTTCAATATTTACAAAGTGTTTTTGGAGGTAGCTAAGAGGAGATGCACTGGTAACTCTTGAAAGGCTAATGCATTAAATTTTATTATGTCTTCAAACAACATGGGACAGCGTCTAACTCTAGGTTACTTTAAGAGAGCATTCATATCTTGCTGTGCTCCCTCCTCTCATTAAAGTGTCCCTATCTGGAGTGTTTTACATTCTCTGCTTCTCTCTCTGGTGATCACTGGGGAAGATGAGACAGGTGCAGGAGGGTTGAAGGCAGAAGCTGGGAATTGTAGGGCTGCTGAAGCACTGGTGGTCCACCACCCCACACTGCTGAGCTAAGACCCTCTAAGCCCTTCAAAGAGGCAGAAGTGGAAGGACAAGGTCAAGACAAAGGATTTCACCATGTGGCCCCTGATAGAAAGAAGGAACATCAGTTTAATTTGTGCAGACAGGAATGATGGATGCCATCCTGATGACTGGGAGGTGGCGGCTTCTACTGCCCTGGCAAGAGACATGAAGTCCTGGGGTAGGGGCTGTTTGTCCTTCCTTGAACTCCTGTCTAATGTAGGGGAATGAAAGCCCAAAGGGAAAATAACTCATCAAAGCCCTTACAGTCAGGCTCATCCCACTTTCTCCACGTGCTTAGGTGTGGGTCTGAAAAAGAAGTGAATACCCTGAAGCCAAGAAGAGGAGCAGCAGCATGGCAGAGGGGCAGGTATTTGCATGGAGGAGCATCCCTACTCCTGAAACAGGGCATGCATCCTCGCCCATAGTTTGGTAGCAACTGTCAAGCTCTCTTTCTTACTGTGCTTACTCTAAGTACCAGACCAGCAAAACAACTGCTTGAAAGTTACAAAATAAGATGGTTTAGTCTCATGGCACACTCTGCCTTCTAATCCTCAGTGCTCAGGGGCTCCTGAGATGCTGCCCGCCCTCTCCGCACTCATCCCCGTGGCACATTTGAGGACACTGCACGCTCCCGGGGATTATAACACTAAAAAGCCGAGCGAGCTTGGTGCCGGCGCGTTGCCCGGTCGGGAGCGATGCTCGGCCCGATCCGCGGCGCTCCCGGCGGGTGGCAGCACCGGCCCGCGGCCGAGCGGAGCTGCCGGCAGCGCTGACTGCTGGCTCTGCTGGTCCCTTCCCTGCCATGGGTTTCATTTGAAAACGCTTGCACTTCTTTTGTGCTACCCTGAATAGCAATGACTTTAAACCACGTTATAGAAATAACGCTGTATGTGTCATGGTCCTTGTTTGGACAGCACATACCTCTCCTGCTGCCTCACATCAGAGCCTGCGGCATTGCAAAGCATTTGGTACAAGGAGCAGGCCCCAGAAGTTTTTATGTCGACTGGCAATTACATGAGTTATCCCCTTTTCACAATAAAAACATTGGGTCCAAGATTAAGACAGCTATGTTCAGACACCCACCTGCACACTGGGCACACCTACCATCACCAGAGATCTTGTCAATGCAGCCCACTGAGCTCAGCTAGAGATTTGGAGGACTAGCCTGATAGCCTTGGGGTTGGCAGCACTGCTCCCCTGACCACAACACTGCCTGCAATGGGAACGTAGAGGCAAATTTAGGGAATTTCATTGAAAATTAAACTGTAGCTACTTTTGGACAGAGTTATCTCAATCACTCACATCCAGGCAGGGCAGGGATGTAACACAAGATGGTCCCACTGGGTTGGCATCAAGCAAAAGGTGGGCGCTACTCAACCAGTTTCTCAATAAATTTAGGAAATGAATGGTTATTTGGATTCAGACCCAAACTCCATCTGCCTCCTGCCTCTGGCAGATATTGTTAGTGGCGGATGCAGTGGGAAGACTAAGGACAGACAAGTGTCTGTAATACCTCCCTCATGCAGCACATCATATTTTCAGCTCAGAGGCTTTCTCTTGGCTTGTCTGTTTGATACTCTCTCAGCAGATCCTCTTCCAAGTGTCTGTAATGAAGGGAGACATGGGTCGGGCCATAAGATGGGAAGGAAGATGTAGCACTGGAGGCTTTCCCAGCATGACTTATCTGGCCTGAATATGAAAAAAATACAAGCTATCTCCTTCCACTACACAAGGAAAATAAGGTGGTAGCTCAGATGTAGAGGTCTCCATTTGGCACATGTGTAAAAGCAGATGGGATGAAACCCATCCTCACTGAGTTGTGGACTCAGTAAAGGCACCTCTGCTGGTGAGCAGCCACTCTGTTTTGTGCTGGATGGTTCTCTATAACTGCTGCTCATTAATGATTTTTATATTACAAATTTTTCAGTGAGAAAGTATGGAAGAGGTTAATTTTTTTAATGGATCACAGGGAGCCATGAATGCCAAGAAAATAATAAAAGTAGTAAGTGATTGTTCTTAGAAAATATGATCCAATGCTTGCCTGAAAAATTAAGTATCATAATGATTGAAATTCAAAAAAATACAGACAAAACTTGAACTGAGATAGCAAAATGCACTGAATGTGTTTCAAACTTTTTTCATCATAAGCTGCCTGCTGAGTCACAGTGACCAAAACTGAAACCTGTTCTCTTTTGCATGACTCTTCTGATGTGCAGTTCTTTCCTTTTGATATATGTGAAAGAAATTTTGGGTATTTTAAATCCCTTCCCCTAACAAAGAAACAAGCAGTGGCATCCTTCCAAATCAAGTGGCACATAGAAAGGTTCTGCTAAGAGAAGGCTTTATCTGTCTCCCAATCAACTGTCCTCCTCCAGGTTTCCTATTCCATGTCTGGATGCCAGGTATACAGAGACAGAAAAAAATGACCGAAGAAACTGGTCATTATAAGGGAAGGACTGACTGCAATGCTCTCCTCTAGCTCCTCTGCTCGTCCATGGCTGAGCTTACTCTGTGTTGTCCCCATGAGGCAGTGGCATGTGGCTCGAGGATGACACAAGCGAAGGGGCATCTGGGCTCTCTCCTGCTACAGAGCTCAGCACAGACATGACAAAACCTTGGGCAAAGTCTGGGAGCTTCAGTTCCCAAATGACTAATGCTGTTTCAAAGTAGAAGCCAAGAAAGGATAACATAAGATTATTTGTTATCTGTCCCAACAGTAGGGCAGGGTCATCTTTTCTCTCTGATAAACTGAATAGTTTAGACTCACATTGTAACCTCTGGTTTGAATTTAGAGATAAGTATTGTCATATCGGCCTTGTGCCAAGACTCAGAAGCAACTTGTGGCAGCAGTGAATCAATGTTTCACAGGGCTGGATGGGCCAGATGAGGCTGCAGAATCCAAGCAGCACGGTCAGACAGATGCTCACCTGCATTCCATGTTTGGAGATGCCTTGGAGCAAGGGACAGTATAAACTCTAATGAAGCTGCATTGCCAGTGGCAGGAATAGAGCTAATTCCAGGTACTCTAGAGTTTACAGCCTCAGCAGTGGATTTAATTATCACTTTACTGGCTTTAAGCAAGCTGTAAGACTAATCTAAATTTAACATGTGTTACAGGGTCGGCAGTCGATTTACAAGCTTCCTCAACAGGCAAGTGTCAAATTAGGGCTATACCAATAGATAAAGGGAGAAAAATAAAGCCATTGATGGCCACAGATTTCCTAGCTGATATCTTTACACTCTGCTATAAAGGCCTATCACCCTTCATTTAAAGAAAGTGAAAACTGTTGACATCTCTTTCAAATGCTAATCATTAGGAAGCAACTTTAACTGAATATAATTAGAATCAAATAATGTGCACCTTTTATTTAGGAGTAACAACACTCAGTATCTTCTACTATTTACGATTCTACTATTTAGATAATGTGTGTCATTAGTTTGGGATCAGATGGTGGAGCCCCTTCAGCTGCTGCAAGACTGCAACTCCGAGCATCACTGGTGCCGTCAGGACCCAAAGCTGCCTCTGGGAGCTTGGTTTATAGCAGGTTTTGAAAAATACAGTGCTTTGCTTTGATAAAAATGCTCCACCTGGAGAGAGGGCTGCCCAGGCTTCACACTTTGGTGCAGCAGAGCTGCCCGGATGTGGCAGCAGAACTTTGTGTGCCATAAAGGGGTGGACTTTGGCAAAACTCTACCCTTGGACTTTTAAGCACCTGCACCCACTGACCTGGCTAAGAGGATTTTCCAGGTCATGGTGTCCATGAGACAAGCTGTACTCTGCTGGAGGGTTTTTCTAGGCTTTGGGGAACAGCTCTGAGCAGTGAGAGCCCATAGCCATCTTGGAAAAGTCCTTCTCCAGTCCTGCTAATCTACCACACGTGACATCCCTTCCCTCCCTACCAGGGCTTATCTACATGATCAAAATCCCTGCCAAGCAGCAGAAAGCAGAGATGACTCCTGCACAGTAATCCTTGTGTTTTGCTCACACAGATTTCTCTTTCCTGGTTGTTTTCTCTGCTGGACAGGACCCCCTCTATTGTCACACATCCAGTCCAAGCCAGATGGCCACCTGAGTAGTCAATAGGGAAAGACAGGTACCTGGTCTCTTATGAACTGTCCTCAAGATGTGCCTGTCTATCTCCCTTGCTTGTTCAGAGAGCTCAGATGACCAGCTTAAGGCTAAGCACCTACATTTTGCAAGACTGAAGTTAGCCTTCTAGTGAGATGGAGAGGAGAACACTACCTAGCAGGCATCAACTACACAGATCCTAGAAAAAAATAATGTTTACCTTTCTTTATAGAATCATAGCATCACAGAATCATAGAATATGCTGAGTTGGAAGGGACCTATGAGGATCATCGAGTCCAACCCCTTACCCTGGTCAAGACAGTCCCAAGAATCACAACATGTGCTTGAGAGTGTTGTCCAAACGCTTCTGGAACTCAGGTAGGCTTAGTGCTGTGACCACTTCCCTGGGGAGTCTCCTCCAGTGCTCAACCACCCTCTGGGTGAAAAACCTTTTCTTGATACCTAAACTAAACCTCCACTGATTCAGCTTCATGCAATTTCCTTGAGTCCTGTCACTGGTCACCAGAGAGAAGAGATTGGTACCTCCACTTTGCCTTGTGAGGATGTTGAAAACCTCAATGAGGTCTCCCTTCAGTCTCTTCCAGGCGGAACAAAGCAAATTACTTCAACTGCTCCTCATAAGGCTTCCCCTCCAGACCCTTCACCGTCCTTGTGGCCCTCTGTCCTGGTTTTAGCCATGACACCCTCCTTTGGATGGTCTGTAATAGCTTAATGTCTTTTTTATATTGCAGTGCCCAAAGCTGCACACAGTACTCAAGGTAAGGCTGCACCAGTGCTTTGTACATAGTCTTGTATAAGGATATAGCTAAGCCTAGCACACGGCATACCACCACGCCTTTATCCAGACCATTTCTACGCATCGTACTCTTCTCATCACTTCCTTCCCTTTGCAGAGCTTAGGAACCCCCTCTGAACCACCCTGGCTGTTTATCTACGGGGTCGGCATGGAAAAGAGAGATGCTGGTGCTGCCCTGGATCTTTGCAGAGGGACAACTTTAGCTACCCAAGGATTTGAAAGAGTTGAGGTGGTTTTTTTCCTCCCAGTTACCTGGAAGCTGAAAACGTAAGCACAGCCCAAGCTGCAGAAAAAGCCCTTGGGTGAACTCCATGCTCCGTATCTATTTGCATTACTGAGAAGTGCTTCTTATCTTTTGGACTTTGAAACAAAAGAGTTTAAAGAAATACTGAAGTGAAATTATAGCTGCTGATGATTAAAGCACTATATTTGGGCTTAACTGTAACTTAAATGTCAGATTATAAACTCTGAAATATTTTTTACATAAACTTTCCCCCATAAACAGTGAACTAAAATAGCCAATTTTTTCCATTGACTTCAGCCAAGTGCAGCACAATTCTGGTTATACGTTAGTCCTAGAGGACAGCCTCAAACCTTGAATTAACCAGGAAAATACAGACAGTCAGAGAAAACCGCCTGCTGAATCCCCTTGTTAGGAGAAGTCACTTGGCTTCAATCATCATTCAGATTGTTGGGGGGTTGCTGTTTGTGTTTTTTCCAGGAGGACCTCACAAAATTTCAGTCATGTGAAACCCGGCACCTGAAGTGAAGTGTCCAAGTGGAAATCCAGCTTTGAAGGGGTTTAATCCTGGGTCACAGATAAATATCTTAGGTAAAAAAACACAGATAAAGTTCTGCTGAGCCAGGACTTGGGGAAGACAGACAAAACAGCGTGGTTATCTGAACTTCACTTATATAAAGTCTCCTGTTGTTTGAGGTGGGATTATGTTGTCCACCTCATACTGAGAGAGGGGATTCTGTGTGCCCTGATAGGCTTAAGGTGCATGATCCAGCATCCACAGTTACATCTTGGGAAGGCAAGTATCCTTTCCCTGGAGAGAAAAGTAATTTAGAAATTGAAAGACCATATGATTCAGGCTGTACAGCTCATATGCAGTTATAAAGAGGAGATGCACACAATGAAAGATGTAACAATTTTGTGGAGATGCTGAGGCACAGTGGTGAGGCAGTGTGACATCCCCCAGGCAGTTATGAGGATTACATGCCTTCAGAGGTTTCCCAAAGCCTCTGGTGACTGGTATGATACATCAGGACAGGTATTTTGGTCACTTCTATGATGACGTTTTATCAGTCATCTCTTAAAATCCTGCTGGTTCTTCACTGCATCATAGGAATTTGTAGCATCCCATACCTCTCCGTCTCAGCTGTCTGTAGCTGTGCCCAGCAGAACATCTTCCCTTTGGTGAGTCTGAACCTGGGGCATGCATTGGCTCCATCTAGAGAAGCATACACATACAACCACAGTGAGTCCTCAGGCCCAGAGGGCGAGTAGCATAGTTGGATTGAGTCTGTACAGATAAAACCCCTGCCCCCACAACACTGCTGTCACATCTGTGCCTCCCAGCAGGAACTGCCCCAGAACGGTGCTCCCCCATGAGCCTTGCCTGGGCACTGTTTAGGCAGGAGAAGGTTGGCAGTCACCCAGCATGGACAGAAAAGACATTGTGAGAAGCAGAGGTGTGTTAGGGCTCGCACACATGAAGAAGTTCATGCAGAGGAATCAGGGTGTGAGTTATGGCCCCAGCAGCCACTGCAGCAGGGAAGGATGTGCAAAGCCGCCTGCAGGCTGAATGGCTCCAATTACTACATCGGAATCTCTCACACAGTGTTGTTAGGCTATAGGTTCCCCATACAGACCGTTCACCTCCTCCCCATGCCCAGCTCAGTCCCAGTCCTCACTTGGAAACCAGAAGTGGAAAAAAGTAACCATCACTCTTTAATAAATTCAGGAAAAATAAAACCTGATGACTTGGGGATGGTCCTGTGCAGGGCCAGGAGTTGGACTTGATGATCCTTGTGGGTCCCTTCCAACTCAGCATATTCTGTAATTCTGTGATTCTCTGTCTTAAGCTGGAGTTCCCAGTGTTTCCAAAACAGCAGTGTACCTCCACTTGTAGGCTTGATGATCTTTTGTGTTGTAATAAAGAGTTGCATAAAAAAAATCCAAACTAAACCAAAACTCTGAAGAACACTGAAGAATTATTCTTAATCCCTTTTCACTTCACAAAAAAACCCAACCCAAACCAAAAGCAAAAAACCGAATAAAACCTTTTCACACAAACACCAATGAAAGAAACAATATGATGTATTTACAATTAATTTTCAGCTTATGAAATCACCTCGTGAATGAAATTTGTGTCCAAGTTGTATGAGAGTCAAGAAGGGAGAAAAGATTATGCTAGTGAAGGGAGAGAAGATTTTTATAGTGTTTTCTGCTTGCCTTTCGTTCTCTGAACAGCAGCAGGAGATTAATGATATTGTCACAACAACATTAATGATGCTGTAAAATCATAAGGACAAAGAGAGCCAGGGTTTGATAAAAGTGAGATTTACAGCTGCATCAGTCAGTTTAATGATCTTTTATTAGGCTTAAACTAAGCAGTAAGACTAATCTCCATTTAACATGTTTTACAGGGTCTGCAGGCGTTTTACAATCCTCCTCCATTCAGAAGTGTCAAATTATGGCAATATTGATAAAAGAGTGGTGTGAATAGTTGTCCCCAAAACAGTTAATATCTTTCTTTACTGCATTGTAAAAGCCAATTACTCTCAAGTTTTGGAGTGAAATTTGTGAACAGTAATCTGAGTTGATAATGTTTAGAAAACAAATTCAAAGAAGATAAAGATCTGTATTCACCTACCTGAGCTTGCTATAAAAGACGGTGCTGGTGCCTCTGTGCCTCTGCTGCCTGCCCTACTGGCCCCCCCGCAGGGCCGCTTCCCCTGCAGCGTCTCCCTGAAAATGAGCTTTTACACTGCACGGAGGAGAAGCAGACCCAAGTAATGTCAGGGCTCAGCAGCTATCTTAGCACAGGGTGCTCTGCAGTTCAGGATGTTGGAGTCCCATGGTCCATGGGGAGCAGCGGTTCTCCCCAATGTTGCTTTCCAGCTGATCTCTGGGGCTGGTAGTGGCCCCATCAACTCTGCTCAGTTGGTTACTCTGCTAGTGGGGGCATGGCAACTGCACTGCCAAACCCCGTGCAGACCCTTACCTTTACTTCCCCCGTGGGGATTAAGTAAATATTTTGAAGCCAAATGATTACTGCAGTTAAAATTTTATGATCAACATTGTTTAAAGATGAGTTGTGAGCAATATGAAATGTTTCAAACAAGGTGTTTGGTTATTTTTAATTTTTTTTCAGCCCCTTTCTTGGCTACCAGCAGCTGTTTCTCCACATTCTGTTTCTTGATGTTGTACTACTGGACCCATGGTATAACACGATATTTGTTCTTATTAAGTCCAGCAAAACCATGACAGACTACATATGTAAATTTTCCATGTTTTTAAAAGCTAAATCCCTTCAGGTCCCTAGGCTTGATTTTGGGCTCTCCATAACTTTGTGGCATTAATTACACTTTCACACATAGAGGAGTAAAGCCCAACCATCTCCACTTGATGGGCTGTTTCATGGCCCCCGAGCCCTGCCTTTTGAGCTCTACAGAAGCAAGCTTCTGGCGTCAGCGTCAGAAGAAAAATGTTTAAACTTGCACTTTTTTTAGTCTTTGGTTTTCAGTGAGACTGAAGAAAATGTAACTCTCAAACCAGATGGCAGCTCCCAGCAAACTGCACATTTCAAGCCTGGGAGAGTCCCTTGTTTAGCCAACTGTTGCTTGACACTTAGCAGAATAAGAAGATCTAAATCTTTCCTAATGAGTTTATATTGTTTTTCCCTGCTCTCCAAGCAGAGGAACACCAGTGTCTCTCAGGACAGGTGAGTCTAGCACTGAAAAATCCAACTTAGTGCAGACTCTGGCTCTGAGCACTTGGTGATCAAAATTTAGATCCTCTCTTTATTTTGTACTGTTGCTGGTTGAAGTGCCGTGGGTAAATCTATTCTTTGATTTGTCTTTTCTGCTGGTCAAAGTGTCTCTGAAGGCAATTTCTGGGATACTTTAGTCTCACTAAGCCATATTATTGGGCATTTTTTGACTGAGGAGTCAGGCTTCCTGGGAAACAAACTTCATGGCACAGGCATGCCTGATGTCATTGAAAGACAGTTGTTCTGCTCATACATTGCTTCAAAAAATCAACAAACACAGAATGCTGAGTCCAGTGTTTCTACAATATCCTATTTTTAGCTGTCTCAAAAAGTTTTTTAACTAATAATTGAATAATCCCCTGACAAGAAACCAAAAATATTTCTCTTTCCAGGCTTGGAAAAGAGACATACATTTTTTTTACAATTACTCAGAAAGTTTACAGCAAAAAATAGTAACAAAAGTCAACTCTTATGACTTGCAATTTGTGTTTGAAACACACTGCAGCCCTACCTCATCACCTGCTTTCTTTAGCTTGCTAACACATCTAATACCCTAAGTCATGTCAGGTATAATGTACTTCTGACAGCGCTGAGTGGCCCTCTCACCTTGCAGCCTTTAAGTCCTGGGACCAGAGTGCCCAGTGGAGGAGACAGTGCCCCTGGTGCAGGAGGTCTTGGTGGACATGCCTAGGAGAGACATCATCTTCTATAGGACAAGCACTCCCTCAAACTCTGGCTTAGACCAACCCCAGGAGTTTCCTGTATGTTCGACTGTTAGAAAGTCAGATGTGCTAAAATCAGATGGTTTCTGTGTGACAGGCTTGGCTGTCCTCTGTCATGAATCCCATGTTCCCAGTTATCTCCCCTGGGCTCAGCTGGTGGGACAACACTGGTCAGCAGATCCCAGCCTGGAGGATTGCAGGTGGAAGCAAGACAGAGCTCAGCAACAGCTCTGCAGCACAGGGAGGCCTTGTGCACCAGAGCTTTGAAAAAATTGGGAAGTTGGCAGTGCATGGTAGTTCCCATCAACATAACCCTGTCAAGATCAATGATCCCCTCACTGTTCCTCTATCCAGGGTCTCTTGGAAGAAGAGTTTTCGGTTGAAGCAGTGGCTCACCTTAGATGAAACAAGGGTCTCAGACTTTACTGCTCATTTCAAGGAATTTCCACTAAGCCTAGGAAAAGGGGTGTAGAAATTGATAGGAATTTTGTCCAAACAAGGTCTTCAGGATTGAGCCTCTGTCAATAAGTCCTGCAACGTGTTTATTCATGCAGGAAGCAGGGAAAAAGTCAGTTCAGGATTCTTATCCATCTGATCTTATCAGGGTGGTAAATCTGGTCTTTGATCTTTTGTCAATAACACACAAAGCTGGAGGCAGCCACCACCCTACTCAGCCATGCAGTCATCAGGGTCTCATAAAACATTTATGAAACCTGTCATAAACTGGTCTGATAAGGAACAGGACATTGGGTTTCAGGAGTCAGCAGCTTCTTGGGGAAGACCTTCCCTCTAACTCCAAAGCTCCTTTGTTTAAATAGCAAACATAAGCCACTGATTGCACCCTGCCATAAAAGCTGGGAGCAGGGAATTTTCACCAGCCCTGCTGCCTGCTGAATTTGTGTGGTGGGTACTGGCCTTCACCATTTGCCTTTTCCACTTGCCAGCCCTAGGGTAGGAGGGAAAAGAGGGGAGGAGGAGAGGAACTGGATAAAATTAAAACTGAGGAAGGGAGAAATAGAATAAAATTTTAACTGAAATAATGAAACCCCTCTCCTGTTCCCACCTTCCCCCATTACTGCAACTATGACTCATGTCATGGTCTCTGCCTCTTCCTTACTTTCTTTATAAGAAAATCAAATTGACCCGCCTTGTATCTTTTCTATGTATGTATTTTCTTTCACTTTTTTTCCCAAAAAACTAAATCCCTAATAGAAAATGAGGTCTCCCCGGTGTCCACACTGGGACATCGAAGCCCCAAGAATAGGATCGTCCTCCAGTGCTGCACAGGGATTTCTGCTCACTTCAGCAGCACAGAGCACCTCTCAGCAGCACAATGTCCACATTAGCACCATGATCTTCCTGAGCTAGAAGTTAAGTACTGTGCTGCACACAAGACCATTCAATCACTCACTGGGATATTTCTTGTTCTTTGGAACAATTTTGGCCTGGGAGATGCAATTGGAAGAGGAAACTGCTGCTAGGGTCAGGTGTGTATGTGTCACAGTCTTGTTATTTACAGAGACGATTCAAACCCTTGATTTTCTGAAAGCACAGGAAGGTCAATGTCAAAATATAAAATATAGCGTATGTTTGCAGCTCAAAGCTCTTCTTCTGGTTGGCACCAAGATCAAATCCTTCTCCCTTTGGTGACATGAGGCTGCAATTCTCATGCATATTCTGCTATCTTTGATTCTGGTTGGTTTTGTTAGTGAAGACACAAAATAACACATGAAATATTACTTGGAAAATCATGGAACCTATACTATACCCTAACAAGATATATTTACAGCTACAAATTTATTTTATCATCTCCATGAGATAAGCAGCTGTTATGTTTAACTGGTATTATTGTATTATTTACTAATCAAACTACTTAGAAGTTTAGTGGTGCAATCACATCTCTGTTAATTTAGTCTTGTTTCAGGCCACTGAAGTCACTAATAATAAAAATTGTTCAGTACTGACAAGAACTTCGTGTCAGAACAATTCCAAATAGAGATAGATACAAAGATACCTTAATTAGGTATGTGTTATCGGTTGCTTATAGTAATAAAACACTAATTCAACACTTGTATATAACCACAAAACAACTGTAATAAATTTCAGATTTGGTAATAAAATACCACTATATTCCTTGATTAGGTGATGAAATAACAGTTACTTTTTAGAAATATTTCAAAAATTCAAAATGCTTCTAATGTTGAGTCTTTCTTTGCATGCAGCCTCTTGGCTAAATGTTCCAGGGATACCAGGGGGCTGTCTATATTTTCCCATCAGCAAAGGTGACTGAGTGAAGCAATTAATTGCATTGTCTAGTCTGTGCCCCAGGACATCCAGGCAACCCAGTTCTCTTTCTTGCTTCATTGCAAGCAAACACAGGACAAAAGAATCTCTGTTTGCCCCAGTCAGATGCAATTAATCAGTTGATTAATCAACTACCATCATTTTTTAGTGCATCTTAATTGTGTGAACTTGGTCTACCCCTGTATCAGGTAATGTTATTCTACAGAAATAAAAAGGTGTTTTAAACGTTTGCATATCATCCAACACCAGTTAGAGGAATACAGGCAATGTACTTACTCTGTCGTATGGTAGTTTACAGAAGATGTGACAACCATGGCATTTTGTGCACACTGATGCAAAGTCAGTGTCCAACACCCTGCGTGGGTGGCCTTTTAGTGAGTCTCAGCGCTCTGAAGGTGACTGTAGTTCATGAAATTGCAGTTCCAGGGCTTGCTCTTAGATTTGAAAGAAAGATTTGAATCAACTAAAGTAACAAGGAAGATAGGATTCTCCTGCTCTCAACTACACAACTCCAACGAGGACCTCTGTGGGAGATCTAATTAGGATGTGGGACCACAATATCATATTGAAATATCTGCACTAAAAATTCTGTGTTATCTTAGTGACAAGATGTGCCCAAGGTGTTTGGAAAACTTAATTTAGGTAGGTGCAAACCCTTGACTGGACATGCCTGCAGCATGTCTTCTGACCACGAGACAAAGGGTGGTACTGACAGTGTGGTGCAGGGTCTGCACCTACCAGAGCACTGCACCCTGCACCAGGCACGGGAGGCATCCTGTATGAGCCTGCACAGTCATGGCATGAGTGCCTTCTGCACCATGACCAGGCACTTCTGGAAAATGAAAGTGCTGCGTGATTAAGGATTTATATGGGTCCTATAAATCAGAGGACCAGTGATTCTGCTGTCTGTTCTTCATTCCTCTGTTCTTTTTGGCTCTTCTCTCCCCGCCTTGTTCTAAGAAAACTGCTTCCAAGGTTAACCCTTATGCTTTCCTCTTTTTCTTTTATGCTTTTCCAGACTTTTCTACTTCTATACTTCTCATTCATACTCTTCTGCTCCTTTTTGCAATCCTTCATTATCCTGGCAGGTCTTTCTCTCTGCTATAATTTCTCTTGCTTTCTGCTTCTACATGCTTCATGCTCTTACTTGCTTCTGTCCTATCTTTCTACACCGTGGGCTGCATTAGGCTGCTTGTTCAAAGTGCCTTGAGGGAGGAAGGAGGTAACATCTGGCAACCCTGGAGAACAGTCTGGGTTGTTCGTCACCTTCTTGTCCTTAGGCATTGTGGTGGTCACAATAACTAAGCTGGGTACATGCAGTAGAAATGCGTGCACCTCTGCATGTTGTGTACTGGGATATAGACCTGGGGGCAGAGAAAAGCCTACACATCTTTCTACGCTCTACCCTCCGCTAATAAAAGTTACCAGTTGCATTGCCTCCTCACAGATCTGTATCAAGAGAAGAGCAAACCTGCTTTCCCCACACCCTCAGAAGTTCAGCACAGTGTAAATTATCTTCTAGCCTCCAGGAAGACCCCACAAAGACAAACACAGAGATGTGCATTAGCTGTCAGCGCCTTTGGTGCACACTAATGCCCTCTCTCTGCTAGTCAGGAAGCTTGTTCTTCAAGATCTAAAGACAGCTCCACGGACAGTTGAGGGAAAGTTTTGTATCCTTTGCATCCCCACTGGGCACATGCTGCCTTTTCTTAGGCACCAGAGAAGCTACAGAGCAGAGAGCTGCTGGAAGTGAGCTTTGTTCTTGCATTCATAAAACAACTCTTAACTCCCCTAAGCTGTTCTTTCCTGGGCACGCAGTACCTTTATATCTTATTGACTGCACAAAACCAACCCTTTACTGAACACATATATTTTATACCTTTAAGAATACTGCTTGTGATGTAGTTGGTAAAATGGAGCAGGACTACAAGTGAATTATGTTCTTTTTCCCTAATGAGTACAATTTGCTCACTGCAAAATCCTGAGTACGGCTGAGGAAGATTACAGATAAATGCAACCAAAGTAATTCAGTCCCCAAAATTTAAAAGGTTTACAGGAATATGCACCCAGACTGCTGGCTGTTACTGACGAAAAGGCTTTTGTCAATAGTGTGTGGCTTTGTCCCATTAGTTCCAAATTTCCTGCACAGAACTGTAATTTCTGCAAAGTGCAGGGATTTGTACTGGTGATACAGCAGGGGAAGCTCAAAATTGTACTAGTCTTTCAAACATGCAAAAAAACCAATAGAGCCCTTTCCTGGTCTCATGAAAAAGTCACACCTTTCCACATTTTGAAGAAGGATTACTGTAGATAGCACTCATTGAGGCACACTTTTCTGCAGAGGCTCAGCCTCCTGAAGCCAGACAAACCCCTTTGATCAGCTCTGGCCTCACCAAAATGTGACCCTCAGCAGCCAGGATCAGGTGCTATGCAACCCCCTGTGCTCTCTGGAAGCTCCTAAAGGCTTTGATTAACTCAGGCAAAAAGCAAGGCTGCCTGGTCCGGCTGACAGGCCTGGCTGGTGCTGATGCTGGGATTGCTCTCTGTTACACTATGCTTGTGTTTGCCCATAATTCTGTGCTTTATGTAGGTGGCACATAAGACAGTGGACCATAAGATCTGGATGTATGGAGATGTGCCAAATCCAGCTGAAGCTTTACCAGGGTAATGATGGGAAATACACATCCTTCTATTTCCTAACGCCTTTTTGGTAAATGCAAAAGAATAAATCTCTCAACCTGAACAGCTTTATTACTAATCAGAATAGAGGAAACAAGCTCTTCAGAAGAGCAGACAGACTCTTGTGTTGGAGATAGATATCCATGTTCACTCCTTTCCACTCAGTGGAGGTGTCTCCTCTATAACATGGCTGGTCCCCTTTCTTAGAATTGGTGCAGAGGATTTTATTAAGTTTCTGGTACTGAGAAAAAGGAACCATTTTCTTCACTTATGCCCTCTTGGGAACAAAGAGGAACTTCCCTAAGTGACTGCGTGATCGTGCACGTATTGTAGACTCACAAACCCATAGGGTGGTTTGGTTTGGAAGGGATCTTTAAAGATCATCTATTCTATTTTCAGTAGCAAGGCTTCTGGGTTTGAACTCCTAATTCCACTTCTTTTGTGTTACTTTCGTGGGAGTTGAAGCAGATGCCTACCCTGAGAGTCACTGACCAGAAATGACGCACGGGAGTCAGCAAGATTCTGGCCAATCAAAATGATTGACAAAATGGTTCTGATTCCTCTTTGGTTTAAATTATTTACAATTTAGGAGAGCAGGAATAGAACAACATTTAAGTTCTTGAATTAATTCAAGCTTGAATGAACTTCTTGCTGAAGAAGTAAAGACTTCAGGAAAAGCTTACAGAGACCTGGAGGAAAAAAAAAAGTAGAAAGAAACGAAAGAGGAAAACAAAAACAAAAAGAAAAAAATGGACTTAAACAAAGACCTCCACAAGAAGTCTTTTCTGTATGCATGCATCTTGTAAGATTTGAGACTGAGATTTCATGTGTTCCCTGAAGATTGGGGCTCTCCTTGCACTGTTCCTTTTTACCCAACTGCTCTTCAGTCCCAAATCCATGTTCTTGCAAATACCACATTCACATGACCTCATTATTATCCAAGGGAAATTCACCTGATTGCTTCCTCCTCACCCTGTGTCCCTTGGGCTGCCCATTCCCCCTTGGATGATGGAAGCAGGAGTTGCTTCCTTTTCCCAAGAAGTCAAGAAGTACAAGTGGGCAGTCTTGCAACTCTCCGTATCACTGAGCTCTGAACCACGGCCAGCTGGCTGCCTGTCAGCACACAATCCAAACACTGGCCAAGGCTGTGCTGGCTGCAATAAACCCTTCAGGGCTGCAAAACAGGTCAGAGATCTCAAAGAGTACAGCTCTGCTTTGATAATGATTAACAGGATGGTGGCAAAAGTCCCTGAGGCTTTGGCTGGGGGTGTGTGTGTGTGTGCAGACACACATGCGCACAAGTCAATGGGAATGTTTATCTGTCCTAAGCCCAGAAAACCCTTTGCACGGGCAAAGCTTCTCTCCCAGTGGGCTGTTTGCTCAACCCATACTATGGCCCAGTATTCCTGATTTTCTCTGCACTGGAATAGAATTCCCTACTGGTGCATTTTAAACCAAAAGCAGAAATAAGCAAAAGGAATAAGTTTAGCATTTCTCTAACTTCTGTAATGAACAAATATGCAAGATCAGATTCCGGTCTCTGGTTCATGAGTGTAAATCTGAAATTGGAGACAACTGGAGTTTTTGTTTGGACCCCATGAGAGTAGAATCTGCAATACTGATCTGAATGGACGGAATGTTATCTTGAGTGTTGTTTTCTGTGCCAGTGAATGTCCTTCAAGCCAGGGGTGTCTGTTAAATTGTGACTTTCCTACGTGCATTTTTTTCCCTTGTTCCTAATTGCTGCTTGTTATTTTTTAGAATCATAAATTATATGTGGGTATTTTTTCACATGTTTTACGAAGATGGACGATTGTTGTTACAAAGAATAACACTCATAGTGAGATCTGAATCATCAGAAGTACCTATTGTCACTCTCTCTAGGCTTCATTATATTAAAAAAATTGTTCCAAAAGGTGAAACACTGGGGCTGGGTGATGGGAGCATGGTAGAGATGTAATCCCCTTCTACCCTTCCTGGTTTCCCTTTGGCCGAAGGGAGCAAGGGGACCCAGCAAGGACACTGCTGTTATTCACTATGAGCTCTCTTCTGAGTGATCAGGACCACTTTGACTGCTTTTTGCAGTTGAAATTTCCCAAGCATGGTCATAACAGACAATCTGCAAGCTACACCAGACTTCTGCTGCCAGCCCTGGGCTCCTCACTGCTGAGGCACCTAAAGCAGCCAGCAAAGTGGCAGCAAGCCTTGCAGAGGGGCAGGGAGCTCTGTGAGGAATGCCAAATCAGGTCCCTTGTAATCAAGGGCTGTTTCCTTCCTTTGTCAGGATTGACAGGCAATCTGATTTTTACATGACTTTCCCCTATCCCAATCCAGTGTTAATAGAAAAGCAAACGGATAAAGTGTAAATGGAGACCACAAAACTCCTGGGTAAAAGCAGATAACACTTCTTGACCTTCCCACTCATAAAGCTGCATTACTTCCTCCTCTACAATGAAGATTAGTTGTTGTATAGTATTTACATTACTTTATAAAGCTACATCCTCAAAGCCTTTATTCAGCTACGTAAGGCTCTGCCAGAGCCCAGGTGTGGATTTGCAGAGGCAGTGGGAGTTGTGGCCTCCAGTTTACACAGCCAGCTCTGGTTCATGCTCTCGCTCATATGCTCCCTGGAAATAAATGCCCAGCTATTGAACATTAATTGGTGAGCTGGGAGAATTCAGACCTGTGAAAGGCCACTTCATTTAGCTTAGTCAAGGTGCATGGGGTGAAGAGAATGGCAGCTGAACCCAGTTTCAGCATCAGAATATTTTTATGTGCATTGTTAAAGTTCTTTTGTATGCATATTGAAAGAGGAAGACCAGAGCTAAAGGAACAATCACTGGCATTAGGAGTCCAGCTCTCCAGGTGCTTACACCAGCTGACAAAAAACAAGCTTCTGAAAACAAGGGCTGATGGTGATGTAACATGGGAAGGAAAAACAAGCTTTCCAAATGAATGCAGCCCTTCTCTTTGTTCTGTGCTCATCAGTTGCAGAAATATAAGGAAATTTCTTTATTCTGGAGAATTAAACACTGTAATAGTTTCCCCCTTTAAATAACCATTCTACTAAAGACCTGATTTTTTTTTAACTCTACCTCCTAGTTTATCTCTGAGGAGATAAACAGTTTAATTTGATTTATGATGTTACTTAGATTAATTAGCTGGTGATTACATGGCACGCTAAATATGTAGAGTACTATAAATGCTCATACCTTTTGTAGATGTCATTGCATGCAGCTCAGAGCACCTTTGGGGTATTTGTTATGAAAGGTTACAATGTTCTGGACTCCCTTCTTTCCTTTGCTGAGGCTCAAACAGATGTTTCAATGACACTTCACTGACCTCTTCGCATTATCCAAGAATAACTCAAGAAAAAACGTAACAGTGCCTTAGAGAGACTCTGTCCCATGTTCACCCATCTGACTTCTCTCCCCCAGCCTTCCAGGAAGGTCTGAGAAGAACCTGCAGGCCCTATTGAATTGTTTCTCTCAGTTACTTGCTAGTTTCTGCTTCACTATTAAAATAGTCTTGATGATGACACCTGGCAGCTATGCCTTCAAATAAAAATGGCTCTGGGACCTTTCTAAAAGCCAGGTTTTAAACCCTGCAGTATCTGGTGCTAGGGAGCTATGAGTAACAGTTTCTTCCTTCCTTCCATAGCAGTGCTTGTGTTTTCCTTTATTGCCTGTATTTCAGCCTCTTCATTGGCTTCTTAGCAACAAATTTTCAAGACAACAGTGCCTACACTTTTGTCTCTAAGCCTCAATATTCATTACATAAAGACACAACCACACA